TGATTCCCTATCAGTATGACACCATAATCATACTTGGTGCTAGTTCTTTCGCTCTCGCCAGTAGCAAAGTTTCCCAGTCCTTTGCGGCTTGATTCCTAAATTTCTCAGCCTCCTCCGGAAGGGTGATCATAGTGTGATGTAACGCCCCTGTCACGTTGCAAGGTTTTTCACGGAGCCAGTGCATGGCAGTGGATGAAAATATCAAATTTAGAGACTCAGGAGGAAGACATTGACTGTAGAAGCTTGTGCCGCACGCTGTGACGAATACATTGGAGAAATCTGAGACGTAGCTTTTTGGGCCTGGTATTAGACCTGCAAAGAAGAGATAAGAGAATTATGGACCGCGATGTACTGGTTCTTCATTCTAAAGCCTGCAGAGCAGGCCTTCCTATCGCTGGAGCGAAGGAGAGTATGAGGGACGAGTCAACTGCCACAGAAGACTCAAGCACTGACTAAACCCATCCGCGGATAGAAGAAAAGCTTCAAATTTTCAAAGACTAACCTTGCAGACGAAGGAACAAGGATTTGAAATCATTGACGGGCTGATCCTCGTAAATCACTTGAATGGGCAAATCGTCACCATGAATTTTACGTAATTCTTTCACGCATGCGTAAAGCAATGGCATAGAGGTACCCCCGTCTGCACATCCGTAGTCTGCAATTGTGAAAGCCGACCTAGGCCTCACTAAAACTGATCTGACACTCTCCAATACTAGAGGCGCGGACTCTAAGATTACGTTATAACATCCAATGGTGTTATCTGAGTAGAACCCAGACCCATCTGTGCCGTACGGGATGTGGCTATGAGGAGACTGCAAAACCGATCAAAGACAATATTAAACAATAAGGTTTTGCATTTACGCTTTGATGTACCAAACTTCCTTTCTGTCTAGCCTGCCTATAGACCCACTTAATGAGGGTCACATGAGTCTTACAGCTAAAAGTATCATGGCAAAACTGACCGATCAGGATATCCTCTTGTTGAAACGTCACGTACTGTCACAACAGTGCATGTCCTTTCTGGGACTGCTCCCGTCTGGATGATTGCACCACACGATCGACTGTTTA